AAAGTGTTAGTTAAATATGACTTCATATAAATAAGAGAGAATAGTGTGTAAAATTATTTTATTAAAATAGGATTAATCTAAAACTAAAAACTTATCACAAAACCGTAACACACACGATTTCTCCATCTTTCTATCAATTCGATTTTAATACTATTCAAAATAAACAAAAGCCTGGACAACAGCTTTGATCTTTCACTTTTCTGCACTCCAGATATCATTGCAATTTTTACCAGTTTATCAGAGTTTTTAGACCTTTACTTTTCCTGGCCTTGAACCAACAACAATGGAACGAGAAAGGCCAGCCAGTCACCAAAAAGATTTGGATCCGATAATACTTCACTTAGGAAAAACAAACGACTTAGGCAACAAACTAAACAATTGTCGTCGATGAAAATTATAAGAATTTGCATTCAATGCGAATGTTATGTAAACAATAACCAGATGAATTACGAACCGCAGACACCATGAAAAAGGCAACGGCATTGAGTTGAAAAACGAAACCGAAAGCACCCATTTCCAACTGAAAACTCATAATCAAAATCAGTGCAGCGTTGCGTGTGCCATGGATTTTCATTTCATAGTCGTAGCCAGGCAGACACAACAGCAACAGCAACAGCAAGAGCAACAGCAGCAGCAATTGCTGCAACAATGAAGGCAATACTGCAACAGCAACAACATCAGGTAACAGCAACAACATTATATATTAGCCAAAGTCGTTCACGTTTCAAGTCGGAGCAAAGCAAAGTCATGGCAACAGTCGGTGGGCTGAGCAATTCTTTGGCCAGTTTTTTTTCTGTTCCCGCTGCTGTTGCTAATGTTGCTGCTTTTGGTGTTGCTGCTACCGTTGCAACTGCTGCTGCTGCTGCTGCTGCTGCGTCGACTGCAGTTTCCTTGGTTGCGCATTTCGCGCTTTTCAGCCCATTTGCAGTGCAAAGCGTGAATCTGCAAGACGTGCTGCGGATTGCTCGCGAAAAAAATAAAATTAAAATTGCAGATATCAAGCCAAAGGATTACGATGAAACCGCTTGGAAAAAACAAATGGATATCAATTAAAAAAGCATGTGATCGGGGTGCAAGTTGTCAATTCAAACGGAAAAGCGGAGTGGAATCTGGTTTAATTATACAAAAAATGTGAAAGGAAAACAAAATCGGCGCAGAGGAAAATCGAATGTCCTGAAGAAAAATAACTCATTATTCAAAACTATACACTACAGTGAAAATACCAATTATTTTGGTAAATGGAAAATTGTGAAAATTGTAACCCAATAAAAATTGAGTGCTGTATTTTGGCAGCGGAAAATCGCCATCAAATAATATTTAAAATAGAAAATTACAACCTTTTACAATCCAAATAAAAATGAAACTTGTCGTGCTTTGCATATTCTCACTCTTTGCCAAAGGTATATACAAATATTTAAAAAATTTAACAAAAATTGATTAATTTCAATAAAAGAAAACAAACTTAAACGTTGACTGCAGCTACTTTTCAAAAGTCTTGAACGTTAAAAGTGTAAATTTGTTCAATATATTTTAATATATTTTATTGGAAAAATTAAGGTCTCAAAACTAAAGACCAAATAAATAAATATTGCAGATGCACAAACATTGCTGCTAAGCCAAACGGATTGGAAAAATCTTCGCAACAGTGGAGCCTTGGATCTTAATGTTTTACGCTGCTTTTTACGAGACAAAAACTATTGTCCCAGTCCACATATAGATCACCGACTGTACTCTCCGTAAGTTTTATTGGCAATGCAATACAAATTGAACATAAATCGAAATCTTCATCTGAGCAATAATGAAGTGCAGGATTCCGCAGATTAAAAAAAAAACATGCAAATTCAAAACCAAAATTTATTATTAATTTAAGTGCGTAAATAAATATAAATAAAAAATATTTATATTTATATTTATTAACGCAAGCAATTTTAACAAAAGTCTGAATATATGTGTGCTATTTCAAAGATGAGATCAGTAACGTTTTGAAAGCTGAAAGTCCTTTCAAGTGGTGAACACATTTTGACCGTGATTCAAGATATTTTATTCTATGTGCCAAATTCCGCTTATGATTTATGTGAGCTGGTGGGCGGGGGAGAAAGTTCCTCAGGTGTTAGGCAACTGGAACTGCTCACTCGGTTAGTGTGCCAACCGGCGATGCACTTGTCGCAACCACAAGGATATTGGCTGGCAAGAGCCGAAAATTAAGAGTGCAATTAATGGGCGGGCAACTCGTTTTTTCCACAACCAGACACTGACCCACTGAGGAAGAGATGCTCTCGCCAAAGGAGGCCTGCTTTTTGCACATTGACCGCTAAGTTTGGCGTTGGCCAGCGATGACATCAATTGCAATGGCCAATTGGTCAATAAAATGCTGAACAAACGGCTCCTCGGCAGTTGCCCAACTTGTCTGGACAAGATCACCTCCGTTTCTCAAGATGAGACAAACTTGCAACTGGTGAAGTCCATTTATATGGAGTTGCCCGGTAATTTCTTCGGTAACATTGAACGACGGAGGGGATTACATGATAACGAGCGCTTAAGAGTCTGCTGATTGACGGTTTTATAACAGCGAAAATTACCGGACTGACACCTCCGTTCTTGGAACACTAGAGAGCGGTCTACCAACCGCATGCTGCAACTATTTTATCTCGTTAAAGACTTCTGGGAACCATTAAACTAACTACTTAAACTTAACTGCTGATAAGTGCTAGAATACTTTTTTTTCTGCTCAATAGTTTTTTTCTTGAGATTGAATATAATTCATATTTGTAAATTATATTAAATAAAACTGCAAATTAATGATTAAATTTCCAATGAAATTTTTCACGACTCTTGATATAATAGCTGGAATTAAAGAAAAAATACTTACATTTTCAATAAAAAGGAGGCAAGCTGAACACCACTTGGTTGTTCATGTTCTGACTTCAGATTACTTGCCGCATGAAAAGTTTCTCCGGTTTTATACTTACAAGGAATGCTGATTGTTCCAATTAAGCTAAGAGCATGTACCAGCAGCAAAAATATAGCTGCAAGTAATCAACACGTTTCCAAACTTATACGATCGAGGAACCATTAAAATTTTAATTAAGTTTAACGATTCTGTAAAGATAACAAAAATGAAATTTCTTGTGTAGGAAGATAGTTTTCTACGTGTAAGCTTTTAAAATAAAATATTAAATTTTACTTTTTTACAGCAATGGGCCCCGTCGAGGCCTGTCGTTAAATGTTAAGAATCCAATGAGCCTTTATCAAGGTGGATTCAGCAAGCACCGCGAAACGGTCTTTATAATACACGGGTTTAATGGGACAGCCATCGACATTCACCTGCAGTTCCTCAGGGATGGTAAGTGCATTAACCCAAATAATTTAAACGTTAAGTATCTGAAACTATTAACCACGTTCACCCCATAATTTGCTGGTTTATATTAACTTTTTGAAACCTTGCTATACAGTCACAAAACTTATAAAGGCCATAAAAATAATCCATTATTAAAAACTGGTTTCTACTGGTTAGTCATATTTTTCGAAATTTTAGTTAACATTTTCTTGTATCGCATTTGTTTTTTATCGTATCATGTTTTTAGTGCGTTTTTTATTCAGACAAAAGCTGTAGTGTTTTTGTGAAGCACTTTAGATTATAAAAAAGTAAGAAAGACATCTGAAATCAAATACTTGTACATAGGGGAGGGTGGTCCCATACCGACCGGTCGTACCATACCGACCCCCCATGTTTCTCAGAGATGGCGATGCTAGCCGAATTGTCGGTAACTTCAGTGAAAAGCTGTTATAACACAGACATTTTGGAGATAGATAGCCACTTTGACTTATTTTGTTTCACTGCAATTTTTCCGTTTGTTTTGTTTCAACGCCTGTGCCATTTATTTTTGAGCTTTACTGAACTTGAGCTCAAAGTTTTTTTTCTCCGCATAAAAATCGGAGAGTAAATTTTTCTGATCGTTGATAGTCCTAGCTTTCACTCACATAATTAGAATTACATCGCTCTTTGCGTCTTTAGTTAATGCCGAGCAGTTAATCAGAAAAGGTCGTGGTGGTCCGAAACCGACCGCTAGGTGATGGTCCGAAACCGACCCCCATTTATTGGCAGCTTAATATATCATAGCGTATTTTTGATGGAAAATATGAAAAAGTAAACAAGATTCAGTAAAGAAAAGTAACAGAAACAGCAAAAACATCAGAAGAAAGCGAAGAGACAGTCATCAACGAGCGGCTTTCGAAAAACTACGCGAAAACAACGCGAAAACTTACTATGAGAAAGAGGACAACTCAGACTTCATCAATTGACTACATTGCCCTTTATTTCATACATTAATTTTTATTTTCTGGAAAGAACCTTCAATATATTTCTTAATAAACGTCAAAATCATTAAATTCTATTTTATGTTATTAAATTTTTCTGTTAAGAAATAGGGGGTCGGTTTCGGACCACTACTTTTGAGTACGACCAAAAAGTAGAGTTTTATATTTGCCTGAATATCTAACGCTTCAAAGCACCTACGCACTTACTAATCATTTAGATGTATAGTAAACTGATCCCTCTACATAGTACTTTTTTGAACTGAACTGAAAAATTGATTTTTCTCACCTTTATCGCCTTTGCCTTTTAGGGGGTCGGTATGGGACCACCCTCCCCTACTAAATATTTAAATTAATTTTAATGTTTTGGTTTTTTTTAACTTTTTATTAAAAATGAATTTTTTAAGCATATTTGTCCCGCGACTTTAACGTAATCACGGTGGACTGGAGACCTTTGACCAGGTATCCCTGCTATCTGCACTCGCTGATAAACACGAGACTCACAGCGCAGTGTACGGCTCAGATCTACGCATTCCTCACTCATTATGGAGCTCTTCGGGAGCGGATCACCTGCGTGGGTCACTCGTTGGGAGCCCACATCTGCGGGATGATCAGCAACCACCTGACGAAGAAGCAATATCGCATCATCGGATTGGATCCAGCCCGCCCTCTAATTGAGCGCAGAAAGAGCAACACCTTTCGGTTGTCACTAGACGACGCCAGTGTCATCCAGGTGATCCACACCAACGCAGGATTCCTGGGTCAGGAGGACAACACCGGGCACCTCAATTACTGCGTCAACGGGGGACGCATCCAACCCTTCTGCAAGGGCAACCCAATCAGTGAGTTGTGGGAATAAATATGTTTTTATTCTAGATACATATTTGTAAAAACATTATTTAGTTAATCTGGAACACAATTATAATTTATTAATCCTTCAGGAAGATCGCGTTGCTCGCATTTCCTGAGTATTTGCTATCTGGCCACGGCCACTTTTAAGCACAAGAAGTTCATGGGGGTTCCTTGTCCCAATGGCTGCTTGAATCTCACAGGACCAAAGCGGCTGCCCGTCAGTGGTAAAATTAATCCTTTCGAATTCGCCTCGTTGCTGAGGGAGTACCACATGGGCAACGATGCCCCTGATGAGTAAGTTCTCATAAACCTAAATTTTCTTCATAAATCCTTCTATAAATCCTTGACTTTCAGCGCCCGAGGCTGCATTTGCATAGATGTGCCGTATGCCAAGCACTGTCCCTTTACGGATGCATAGGAGCTGGTCTTCACTAGGTCTTAATTCTATAATAAAACTGTTGATAATAAATTCTTAAATAATTTATTTATGGAGAACATTTTAATAACTGAATTCAAAGAGATTTGTTTGATAATTTTACAAAAGCTTCTCCTAGAACAGATTCCGCCTCAGGCGAAGATATTCTTCTACAGTATCTCATTGACACACAAAAGGAATCTTGACTTCGCACACCATAGCATGGTATCCGTAGGCGTCATTAGTGTTGATGAAATTTGGAAAACCTAAAAATTATGGCACAATAAATTATACATATATAATTATTATTTCAATCTTTTTCTAAAATTGTTTTTTTTATTTACAATTTTCTTAAAAATAGTTCGTTGCAATACACCAAACATATATCTTTTTGGAAATACCAAATAGTATTTTTCTATCGATGACAATGCAACGAAAAACATTGTTGAATCGATACTTGTTTCTGAACAAAATAAATAAAGAGTACAACTTGTAAGTAACAGCGTCATTATTAGCAAACATCATTGACAATTTATTTAATTGGAGAGATATATTTCATTGTTTGTGTAAGTAGTTAACGTTAAGCTATAAAGGAAAAATATAAAATTAAATTTTTGGTTGTAAATTTGGAAACCTAAAATAAAAACAGAATTTAAGAATGGGATGCGATGGCGGAACAATTCCGAGGCGCGATGAGCTGGTGCGCGTAAAGCAAAAGCCAGAGCAGGTAAAAAATTACTTAATAGTACCTTCTAGTGACACTTTTTTACTTTTCGAACACTTCAGAAAGACAAGGATGCGGAGAGGGAGTTCCGCTGGCGCCACTGCACCTTGACCCAACAGAGCCTCCAGGAGCCCATTGCTATGTGCGGCATGGGTAGACTCTACTCCAAACAGAGCGTCATCGAGCGACTCCTCGAGAAGGAACCAATGCCGGAGACAGCGGCTCATGTGAAGAGCTTGAAAGACATTCGCCAGCTGCACCCTACACCCAATCCCGCCTTCACCGAGGAGGACAAGACCGAGGGTCTGCTGGACACACGTCATGCTCCCTACATCTGCAAGCTGATTGGTCTGGAAATGTCGGGCAAGTTCCGATTTGTGGCCCTCTGGAGCTGCGGATGTGTGGTTTCCGAGCGGGCCTTAAAACAGATCAAAGGAAGCGCTGCCAGCACTTGTCCCTTGTGCCAGGCCCCCTACAGTGTAGAGGATGTGGTGGTACTTAACGGCAACGACGAGGATCTGGAACTAATGAAGGTTAAAATGGAAATGCGAGCAGCCAAGCGCAAGTCATCGAAAAAGGAGAAGAAGGAAGCTAAGAAAACAGAGATTAAAGCTGAGCCAGAGGATTCCGAGGAGCCCGTGGCATCCACATCCAAGTCAGCCGCTGTGGATAAACCCACAACCAGCTCGAAAGTGAAAGCAGTAGCGAAGGTCAAACGATTGGGGGCTGTAAATGCCATGCAAGATCCGGAACTAAAGCGCCTTAAGAGCGACTTCAGCGTGGCCAAGGATCCCAAGGCCACCGATGTCTACAAATCTCTTTTCACCACCCACAAGACAGAGAAGGATCAGGAGCGCGCCCACTGGGTCACCTACAACCCCTTCTACAATTAGTTTAGAGCTTAAGTTTGCTGTTTAATATCAGTCACTTGGGGACTTGTCCGTAGCTTGAACGTAGAAAACCAGACACAAATAGTTCAAAAAAATACAACCGACTATGTATCGTTCAGCCTACCAAAAGGGGTTCCTTACTGTACTATATAGCGTGGGCAGTTCGCCGTTGAACAACTGGTCTTCCTATGTGAGTATCTGCATCATGGTTCCTTTCATTCCTCTAAAAGTTTCCTTGGACAGACCAAAAATGGCTACATCAAGCGGATCTACGATGAAGACATCAAGTCCCTGGTGCTCGAAATAATGGGATCGAATGTGTCCACCACTTTTATACACTGTCCCAGCGAGTGCAAGGAACAGCTGGGCATCAAGCTGCCATTTCTCGTGCTCCTGATAAAGAACATGCACAAGTACTTTTGCTTCGAAGTTAAGGTTCGTTAGAAGTCTTTTAAACTTCCATGTTTTACTCTTGGGTGTGATTTGTTACGTATACTATAAGAAAACCTCAAATTTATAGATTCAAGACGATCAGCGCTTCATGCGGCGTTTTCGGGTGTCCAATTTCCAAAGCAAAACCTCGGTGAAACCTTTTTGTACGGCCATGCCGATGGGAATGTCCCCGGGTTGGAATCAAATCCAGTTTAATTTGGCTGATTTCACTCGACGGGCCTATGGGTCCAACTACTTGGAAACAGTCTCCTTGCAATTGCATGCCAACGTGCGAATTCGAAGGATTTACTTCGCCGACAAGCTCTACACTGAGGCCGAGTTGCCCAACGATTACCGCCTAATGGGCAAGCCAAAGGATTTGAAGAAGCCGGAGAAGCAGTTCAAGGTGCAGGCAACCGCTCGTCCACCATCGCCATTAAACACGGCCCGTGCAGATGCTGGCCCCTCAAAGGACACAGAGCAGGATGCGGGCACCGCCACAGATGCCGTCAGCGAACCGGAACCGGTGCTGCAGAAGGCTCCGTCGCCACCTGTTCCGCAGAAGGCTCCAACGCCACCGGAACCCGCTGCTCCTCCAGAGCCTGCCACCGAGCCAGAGCCAGCTCCACAAACGGAAGCCACCGAGGAGGCCTACTATTAAGTTTTTGTTCCTATTCATTGTTAGTTTTTACTTAGATGACACGCGACTGGGAGTGGACTACATCTCCTAAATTTCCAGTTATAGAGGCAATATTAAACTGAAAATCGAAATTGTCATCTTATTTATTCACATTCCGGGGAACTACTAGGTCTATGCATTTAAAACTGCGGCAGTGTACTAAAAAAACAAAAACATTTTCCATCATAGACACACACACAACTTGCTTTATTTTAACCCTCTTGGACTCTAAACAAAATCGGCTTTGTTACATTGTGAATTTGCTAAAATATCTTAATTAGGATGGACCCGCGCAGGCCTGGTCGCTCAAGAACTCTTGTCGGCAGAGGCGCTGGCAATGGTCAGCATATCGGCATCGATGTTCTTGAGGGCGTTGTGGTACTCGGTGATCTCCAGAGCCTCCCATTCGGCCTTGAAGGCCGCCTTGGGGTCCTGGGGCATGGTCATCGCAGCTCCCGTCATGGCATCCGCCTGAGCCTGCGTCTGATCCGCATGGTTGTTCTCGCCGAGCACCAGCGTATAAATTGAGCGCAGGCCGAACACATTGAGGAAGTACCAAGAGGCCGAGGATACCCAGGCGGCGTCCAGCGAGGCGAGCTCCACGCCCCGCTGCAACATGGGCTTGAAGCGCAGTGTCAGCGGGAAGGGCACTTTGGTGGTCACAAAGCCCGAGAACATCCAGTTAATCCATCCACCAATCACAACCATAGGCAGTACGTTGATGAAGTTACCCTTCACCAAGTCGGTAAGCATGGCGGAGGAGTTCTGGGCCACGGGCGCCCGTTTCTGGGTCTTGAAGTAGCCCGTCTCCTCGTTGTTGAAGTAGTTTTTCCGCATGGAAAAGCTCTGTGCACTTAGATATTTGCCGTTCTCGCGGAGCAGACGTGCCCGTATCATCGCCTGACTGTGGGTTGAAACGGATTGTAAAGGAAAAGCTTCAAACGCCCTTTGGTCCCACTCACCTGTCCTGAATTTGGGTGATCTCGGCCTTCTTCTGCGTGGATATCAGAATGGAGACGTAGTGGCGCACGATGCCTACCAGGAAGGTGATCAGCACAATGGGCAGGAACACCCACACACGGATGTCCGGATCGATCAACAGCTCCGTCATGTTTTAATTGATCTGTGCGAAATTTTCCTAGTTTTTCGGCCCAATTTTTCACCCAATTGGCTCAATTGGGGATGACAATCGATATTCCCACCGGATAGTGATGGCAGGTTTCTTTATCGATAATATCGTGGCACCACCGCAGTACCCATAAATGACGACTTTTATACTGTGTGAATAGGCACCCAAATTTGTTGTTGGCTTACATTTAAGAATCTAGATAACTCCATATATATAAATTGGTTTAAATTATCAAGCCAATTCAGTTAAAATAAAGAGGAAAGATCTTGTTTGTTTTAAAATATTTCAGTATTAAAAGAACACCCCTATTAAATCAAAATAGGGCTTTCACCTTATGAGCATTCGATACATGCTGTAGTTCAACCGCAAAATATCGATTTCCGTAGTGCAATTGACAACCCTGCAAGCCGAGAATGTAAATTTAGATCGAAACGAATTAAATTTGTTGGACGCCAGCTGAAAAACAAAACAAAAAATTAACCTCAGATAGCCAACGCCATGGAGGCCAAGACCGACGCTCCTATCTCCCCGGCACCCACTCCAAACCCGCCGGCCGACTCCGCTAAGGACCAAAATAACACCAACAACGCGCAAGCAAATTCAACCGCCGCGCCGGCAGCTACTGCATCTGGAGCCTCCGCCGTTGGCCAAACCGCTCCCACAGCCCAGCAGCAGCAAGCACAACAGCAGCCGTTGGCCAAGAAGCCCAGTGGCGAGACGAGCTCCATGCCTACGCGACAGTACCTCGATCAGACTGTGGCACCCGTTCTGCTCCACGGACTGCAGGCGCTCGCCCGCGAAAGGCCCACGGATCCTATCCAGTTTCTGGCCTCCTACCTGCTGAAGCACAGCAACGGGTGCGAGGAGAACAACGCTGCTGCGGTGGACAACAACTCCTAAGTCCCTCAGCTACCTACCTTATTTTCCCGTCGTTAGTTTTGTAAGTGAAAAGTGCATAAATAATAAACGTTTAAAGTTAGAATGTAATTGCAAAACACAAAGCAGACTGCTAGACTGTGATGGGGTATCCCCAGGGATCCAGCTTCGAGTTGAGTAGCTCCAGCGAGGCGTCTGCGATCTTAGCCAGCAACTCGGCCAATTTGTGCTTCGTATAGACCTTGTAGAGCTGTCGGGTTTCGCTGGAAATCTCATCCGCCAGGCGCACACAGCCGGCAAAATCGCCCGACTTGAACATCACCTCGTTGAGGAGCAGGGCGATCTCGGGCAGGCAGATGGAGCGCAGCTTCTCCATTTGCAACAGACGGTGTTCCCAGTTCAATTGCGCCGCGTTCTCGGGTTGTTTGGAGATGAACGGATCGACTAGCCATCCTTTGTCTGGGAACATGAGCACGTTGTACAGAGTTTCGATGGTTTCTGCAAGGAAAAGGGATTGTGTTATGAATTGGGATAAATGCTTTGGGCTTTAAACATCAGAGATAAATGATTCAATAAAAAAAGAGAGAACTTACTATAAAGATAGTACTATGCAATAACAAAAGTAAACTACAAGTTATTTTTACTATTTCAACTTTATGGGAAAAATAACATATTACAATTAATTGATGAAAGTTAATAAGGGGTAAGGCAACCAATATTCTAGAATTTTAGTTTCTTTTGAAATATAGAGATTAAACAAAAGATGGAGGACACATTTAATAGACTTACGTTTGGCCTGCTCCTTGACCTTGTGCTCCCAGCGCAGGACTTCCGATCGGTGGGCCTGCTCCTTGCGCTCGCTGGCCATGCGCTCGGTGAAGTTGTCCTGGGCGGAGGCACTCATTCCTGCCTGCGGCTTCTTTGGCCTATTTAGCTGGAGGCGATTCCACTCAACGAAGCTGTCGACGCCGGTGAGGTAAACCTTGTAGCAGAGGTACTCCTTCAGACAGCACTCCTCGCGCGGCGGAATGTTGTCCACCGAGCCGTAAATGCCCACGATCTGCGGCACGATGTCGCCGGGCACCATGCGGAAGGTCTGGCGCACGCAGTCCATCTTGTTGCAGGCCAGGTAGGTGCGCATCATGGCGTTAGCCTGCCACAGCAGCTCGCCCCGTTGCTCCGGCAGATGGAGCAGCCATTCCAGAGCGGAGATCTTGCGCTGATCCGCCACTGAGATCTCGCCGGAGTGCGGCTCACCGAACTCGCCAAGAGTCACCTGCGCGAGACGAATGTTTTCTACGGTAATGCGTGTGATCTGCTCCACATCTAATCCTGCTTGCAGAGCTGCATCCAGAGCCAACTCTCGCTGACGCTTCTGCTCCACTTGCTCAAGGAATCGGGAGTACAGCTTCACCTGCAGGGGATTCGAGAGGGCTGCCGCGTAGTAGGCTATCAACTGGGGTTCACCTCTGGCAATCAAGGCCTCCACATAGGCAGCAATGATCTTTTCCGCCTGACGCTCCTGCTCGACGCGTCCGATTTGCCGAAGGAAGAGTACAATGTGCGCCATGAAGCGCAGTTGGTGGGCCGGCAGTTGCCCTCCGTCCTTCTCCACCCAACGTACCATGTGCTGTAGCAACTCGCCGCAGGTATCCAATATTAAATGCCGCTGGATTACGCCCAGTTGCCCCTGGGCAAAGTCACGCACCGAGGCGTCTTTGGCCACGTTCAGCTCGTCGAAGATCTGCTCCATGGTCATCTTGCCGTTCCAGTATTCATCGGGCATTGGTTGGTAGCGCTTTAAGCAGCAGCCGCGAACCTCGGACTCCACGCGGATGTCAATTTGGGCTTTTAGGTGGGCCCACAGTAAGTCATGCCAATTGCTGTGCAGGAGGGACTTCAGGGAGCCCAAATGACCGGAGAAAACGCCCGCTGTGGCCCGAGTGTACTCATCGTAGTTCTTGGAATCGGCCAGCATCCAGGCACAGCGCTTCCAAATATCCCGCCTGGGATTTCCCTCGATGGGCAGCTTTTCATGGACCGCCGAGACGTTCTGCTCGAAGTTGGGATCCTCATGGAGACGCCAACCTTCTAGGATGGCCGCCCGCCAAGTTTGCCCGTAATGTTTGCAGAGCGTCAAGCCATCATCCACACGGCCCGACCGGATTGCGGAAAAAATGGCGCGCGACAAGCGCACGTTGTCCTCCTCATCGAGAGCGTGCAGTGGTCGCTTTTCGCGAACGGGCGCATCTGGATCCAAATGCGCCACGATCTCGTGACCCTTGCCGAAGGCGGCGCCCTGCAGGTTCTCCAGCTGGAAAAGCGTGTTCTCCCAGGCCATCATGCGGTCGTGGCAGTGCAGCGGATTCTCCTGCTCGCCCGGATCGTAGCAGGCCTCCAGCCAATCCACAACCAGTTGATATTCGCGCAGCGTGGCGTTTATGGTGTACAGCTGCTGGATGACCTCCTTCTCGCTACCACCGAGGGTGGGTCCGTCCTGCATTTCATCGTCCGCTTGAGTGTCGGTTTGCAGCAGGATGCGGTCGTAGAAGAGGGCGTGCAACAGGCGCCACGTATAGATCTCCTGGCGCAGCCAACTCAGGATAGCCTCGCGCTGCCGAGCGCCTTGTGTTCCGCCCAGACCACGTTCAATCTCCAGCTCCAGTTGCTCCACAACTCCGCGACAGGCGAGCGTTAGTGCCTGGATCACCTCGAGGGTCACCTGTCCACTGCCCTGTGCCTGCAGAACGTCGAAGAACTGCGGGAACAGTAAGTCCACTCGGCTCTTCCCGCGATCCAGATCATCGCCGATGTCCTCGATCAAGGAGCGATCTTCCATAGCCGCCGCGTTGCTCTGATCCAAAAGAATCAGCGAGTGGGACAGGTTCTGCGGCGCCATGGAGCTGTTGAGTGTGGTGCGCAGCAGGCCACTGCGGTTGCTCATCGGAAACGGGCTATCTGCCATGGCTTTAATCTTAAAGATTCCTGGCTATCCGCTTTTTGGCATTAAATTAAACGAAAACAAAACAGAAATTCACGCGGTGGCCGATAAAAAATGCCGGGACTTGCCACTAGAGATGGACTTTAAATCGTTTTCGTAATCGATATATTGGTATAGGAATCCTAAATCAGGTTTATTTTTTAGTGGTGTTTTTCATGCAACTTCTTTTTGTCAAAAATAGTCTAGCTAAATGCATATACGTAATGTTATTAAATAGTTAATCGCAAATGCACTTCATTTTTTTTAAGGAAGTAAATATTATTTTAACTTTCCTACACCTTTACTATTCTGAGTTTTGATAAAGATTTTGCAATTATTTTGAATTAATTCACCACATTTATGTTAAGCTCAAATAATAATATTTAAATTTATTTAAAGCTGGCATACATTAAGTTATTATAAAAGAGTTCGCATTTTCAATTGAATTTGAATGAACGCGGTCTTTTCGCAATCATGCAGGCAAAATGCACTGAACTGTTTTTCTGGTAAATATCTTGCAATTATTTTGAAATAATTCCCGACATGTATGTTTAGGTCAAATAATAATATTTAAAATTATTTGAAATTGGCATACATTAAGTTATTAAAAAAGAGTTTGCATTTTCAACTTAATTTGAATGAACGCGGTCTTTTCGCCATCATGCAGGCGAAGTGCACGGGACCGCCGTATGACAGTATGCTGTAATGCGGGCGTTGCCTGACCGTGCGCAGACCGCCCAACATAAAACATTTTCTTTTATTTGTTGTAACCATTGCGAGGACGCTTGTAATTACGATTTGCGTTATTGCGATGCGCTGTTTTCGTCCGATGCGCAGCTCCTGGCAGTACCATTTCGTTGGCCAGAATTCAGATATAAGACCCGGAGATAAGCGGAAGTACTAAATTCAAAAACAGCAAAACATAAATACAGGAAAGCAACTTTTTGTTTGGACGCGCATGCATAAATTAAAACCGAAATGGAAATAAGTTAAGAGAGCCCTGAAATAAACACAAAAGCACGGAACCTGAGCAACAAACCAGTGATATAATAGTAATCTACAGAGAAACCAACCATTAATCCACATTATCTTGTAAAACCGAACTCACTTAAGGTACGGCATTGATTTTTCTCCCCTCATTTGGGTTTCTTATTATAGAGAAAATGTTGATACACTCGCTTCCTTATTTGTGATTAGCCTTTCGCCAAGATGGCCGTGCAGCTGAAGCAGAGCTACCACCACCTGCCCCTCACGATCACTCCGATTTTCCATCATCCATCGCAGCAGCAGGAGCAGCATCAGAACATCCTGCAGCCGGCACCCAATCCTCCCCAGCCGCAGCCACCGGATCTCACCTTCCACTGCATGTGCTGTGCTGAGTTCTTCGTGCATCCGCTGGCTCTCTATCAGCACATGAACACCCTGCATCCGAACGAGCCGACTAACAGGGAAAAGGATCCGGAGAGTCCGGGCGACGAGGGCGAGGACTACAGCTGGATCTTCGAGCCGGTATGTGAGCTGGCGGAGGACGGCAGCGACTCCTCGGAGGGCAGTGACTCCTCCGGGTCGGATAGTTCCTCCTCCTCGGACGACGACGACGACGACAACAGCTCCAGTTCGAGTTCCAGCAACTCCAGCTCATCCGGCAGCTCGATGCCCACTTCTGGTAACTCGAATACCCATCAGAGCCAGGAGAATATGCAGCCCATGCGGGGCTTAGTAGCGGGACCAGGCTTGAATGAATACCAGCTGCAGATGGCCGATCCTCGGGAGTCCACCTCCATTATCATGCTGCAGCCCAGCATGAGCTTCACCCCGCTGCAGCAGCAAACACCACCGGCACCCACTCACCCCTTGGCCTTCTCCCTGGACGCCGTGCCCATCAAGCGGCGGCGAGGAAGGCGCAGCAATGTCCAGCTGCCGCCGATGGATCCCGCGCTGAACGGCAACCAGAAGTGCTTCCAGTGCACCCACTGCGAGGCGAGCTTTCCCAACGCCGGCGATCTGTCGAAGCACGTGCGCTCGCACATCACCAACAAGCCGTTCCAGTGCTCCATCTGCCAGAAGACCTTCACGCACATCGGCAGCCTGAACACGCACATCCGGATCCACAGCGGCGAGAAGCCCTACAAGTGCGAGCTCTGCCCGAAGGCCTTCACGCAGTCGAGCAGCCTGATGGTGCACATGCGCTCGCACTCGGTGCGCAAGCCGCACCAGTGCCTGGAGTGCGACAAGGGGTTCATCAACTACAGCTCGCTGCTGCTGCACCAGAAGAGCCACGCGGCGCCCACGGAGACGTTCACCTGCCCGGAGTGCGAGCGGGAGTTCAAGGCGGAGGCGCTGCTCGACGAGCACATGCGCATGCACACGCAGGAGCTGGTCTACCAGTGCGCCATCTGCCGCGAGGCGTTCCGCGCCAGCTCGGAGCTGGTGCAGCACATGAAGAACCACATGGGCGAGAAGCCCTTCACCTGCTCCCTCTGCGATCGCTCCTTCACGCAGTCGGGCAGCCTGAACATCCACATGCGCATCCACACCGGCGAGAAGCCGTTCCAGTGCAAGCTCTGCGACAAGTGCTTCACCCAGGCCTCCAGCCTGAGTGTCCACATGAAGATCCACGCCGGCGAGAAGCCCTTCCCGTGCCCCATCTGCGGCAAGTCCTACAGCCAGCAGGCGTACCTCAACAAGCACATCCAGGCGCACCAGGCGACTGCATCCGCGGTCCCCGCTTCCTGCGCGCCCGGCTTGTCCGTCGCCAAGCAGCCACACGAGACGCTGGTCTGCATTGTCTGCGGCTCGCTGCACGCGGATGCCACTGCGCTGGCCAACCATGTGACCAGCCAGCATGCTGCTCTTTTGAATACGATGAAGCAATCTGCTCCGGAAGGAGTGCTTCCCGAGGGCAAGTGCAGCGTGGAGGAGCAGCAGGCCTACATGCAGCGGGTGCAGACCGTCCTGCAGCAGATGAACCAGCAGCAACAGCAGCAGCAGCAGATGCTCATCCCACAGCAGCCGACGATGCCGGCGATGGATTCCACCGGGGAGGATGAGGAGGAACCGGACGAGGCAGAGGAACCACCTGACGAGGAGGAGGAGGAGGAGGACGACGAGGAGACGCCGGAGGAGGAGGCTCAAGTGCAGGAGGCCGAGGTGCCCTTCGCCAACCAGAACTATCCCATGCTCGGTCTGCAGGAGGAGCAGATCCTGCTGCACTCCGACATGTATTACGAGGATTTCGCCGACATGGACGTCGGCTGCCAGGAGGAGGTGTTCGGCGACTACGTCGTCAACGAGGAGGAGGTCTACACCGAGGAGCTCATTTAGATTTAAGTACTGAGGTTGGCCATATTTTACGAGAGCGATTCATATTTACACTGGATAGGCACGGCAGTTCTTAAATAGTTTACGGAACTCATAGTTTATGCGGCCTTCCTACCAATTTTTTTTTTTTTGTATTGTCCTTGTTTGGTAACCGAAGAAGTCGTGAAGTATTTACAAGATAGTATTTAATAGTTTACTGGTATACAACAAACATTAATCGGGAATGTTCCAAGAGATCGCAACTAAATTGGTTTACCATTGTGAAAATATTTAAAATCCTGGCGAAACAAAAGTCACTTTAATCTTTTGCCGACAACCTCCAGAATCTATATTTTTTGTGTAATCAAAAGTTACGATTAGGAGCATTCCTATTACAAGTTGTTCAACATTTCCAGTAATTTCTCCCTCATATCACAAGAAGCCCACACGACTAGAGGATCATCCAGGAAATGGACGTATTGTATTTGCACATTATCTTTTAAAGATATTACATTTGTTAGTATTAAGCTCTACTTTATGCTGCTCATTTTACATCCCAAAGGTTTTCCCTTGCCCCTGTTGGAGTCAAAAGGATTCCAACTATTCCACGTCGCGTATTTCCCAAAATCGCCTGAAGAGATTACATTAATCGTTATATTTAAATATCGAGACTTTTCTTTTGGGTTCGCCTTGCAAAGGTGATAACTTTTTGTTTTTATTTGTGTAGATTTAATCTACGAAAATGGCTTAAATTCTAGTAAAGGTTCCCGAAGCGGATGCCACCATCCGTCCAGGTTCATTTAAATCAATCGAGGGGTCCGTTTCGGCCACGCCGAACATTCCGGGCAGCAGGTAACCACCGGCCATCGGGTCATCTGGTTCCAGTTTCTCCGGCGGAGCGATCAGAACGTCGTCGCCCTGATAAACGTACGGCAGTCGGATGATCCAATAGGCGCTCTGCGAGAGTCGAGGCGGGATTATGCTGCCGAGGGTGAAGGTGTACTTCCCCTTGCCGACGCACACCTTCGGATCCACGATGATGTTGACCGGGGCCTTGGGCGTCACCACATGGATGCGCATCAGCTGCGCCAGGTAGTTGTTCTGGGAGCGACAGGGGCAGGGATAGTAGAGCGGCATGTTGTTGTGCACCACCTTGCTGCAGGTGTCCCGCTCGATGTCCGCTCCGCCGCGCAGCACACGATCCGGAGCGCACATCATGAAGCGGTGTCCTCGCGAGCACTCGTACTCCATGCCCACGAAGATCTTGAGCGACAGGCGATCCCCTTGCTTCTTCCACCGCTGCTGCTTCTTTCCGGGATGCTGTTGCTGGTGGTGCGGATGGTGCTGGTGCTTGGGCGCGTGGACCAATCTCAGTTGGACATCCCAGGGCAGCAGGAAGTTCGCTCCCGACAGGAAGCCGCTCTGGAAGTGCTCCTGCAGACCGGTGTTGTGGCTGTAAATGGAACTGGGACCCACGCAGGCCAGCGACCAACTCGGAAAGAGAGGCAACAAACCAAAGTCGCTGATTGTGTGCACCAATCCAGGTAAATACTCCGTTGTAGATGTGGAGTAAGCATTCGATGGAGCGGCTTTCTCGCGCGCTTCCTTCTTCGCTGGCTCCTGAATCTGCACCACCAGTTCGTTGTCCGTGTCGGCACTCGAAGTGCCACTGCTCGTGGAGTTCGGCTCGGAGTTCGTCAACTGCTCGGAGCTGGCCTGCGATTCGTTCAGAGAGGCGCCAAAGCCAGCGATGGACATGTTGAGATCCGAACCGAAGGTGGGCGAAAGCGGCTGGGAGCATCCGTTGCTGGGGGAGTTCTGCTGCTCCTTCTCCGTCGGCTGCTGTGGCTCCTGGCCTTCCTCCTCCTCGTCCTCCGCCTCCTCCTCTTCATCTTCACCTTGCGGTAAGCCACCCTTGCCCGTGTGTAGAAGTGGAAAAGCTGCTTCAAAAGCCGCCGCCCGGTAATCACTTACAGATGGCTCGAAAATGGGGAACTGGTACTGCTTGACCTTCACACAGAGGTTGCACATTTGAGCCATGTGCTCGTAGTAATCGTAGTTGGCCTGCCGGAGACTAAACGGATCCTCCCGTCGACCCTGTGTGCGTCCGCAATTGCAGCTCGAGATGTGGATCACTCCGCTGTTGTGCTTCTCGTGCGGCACGTTCTTGGGCAGCGTGCAGGGATGGGATCGCAGGCTGAGCTGCTCGCACTGCTGCCTGCCGTCCTGCCAGTGCTTCAAGCACACGGCTGCCAGTTTGGCCAGTGCGGCCTTTGCCTGTGGACCGCGTCCCTCCTCCTCAAAAGCCGCAGTGGCGTCTGCTAGAAGTTGTCTATGGGTGGCGCTGCCATAATTAGCGGGAGCTGCGTTCTTATAAGCGGATATTCCCTTCTTCAGTCCCAGTTCGCTCAGGTGGGTCCAAAACCTGGAAAGGAAAATAGTTGTAAAGACTTGAAGAGCATAGTCATTTGCTTTCATACTTCTTTTCATAATTCAAGCTGTCGTCAAACTTCTGGAGGAAGATTTTCTGCAAAGAAAAAAATAAAGTTAAATACATCAACTCAAGAGATTCCTAATTTAACGCACATAATCCTCATTGGTAGTTTCCTGATTCGGATCCTTGGCATTCTCTATAAGCAACTTGTGCAGAGTATTCATGCAGTCTTGCCACTCCTGGATGTTTAGCAAATGGAACTGCCCGAGCTGCGGCATCTGTTTGAAGGAGCCCTCATCAAAGCAACCGATCAAGGCATCCTGAACGTGTCGCTGCAAAAAGTGCCAAACCGTGTGATCCTTCTTGTACTGCTGCTCCTCCAACTGCTTCTCGTCGAGCGGAGGACCATAGGGCTTGACAAAACCAGGAAAAGGAGCGAGCTCAAGGATCTCCAGGTCATCCTCCTCCTCTTTGCAATCGGGTTTGTACATCGCCAGTTTCAGGCAATCAATTGCCTTCAGGAGCTTATCCGGACGCAATTCTTCGTAGGCGTTGAAGAAGACGAACTGCTTGTTGTTGGGCAAAGCCACCAGCGAAGTGCTGCTGCTGTTGGTCACGATGTTGTGGTGTCGCAGCAACTCGTAGATGACGTCCTCCGTCTGAAACTCGTAGGCGGAGACAACCTCCTTTGTTTTGGCCTCATCATGCGGAAAGTTCTCAAACAGGAAGAGCATTCTCGGGGCACACAGTCGAGCTTTCTCGCCCATCTTAGCGGCGGGCGAGTCCCTGATCATTTGCGGCAGGAACTGCAGAATATGCTGCTCCCTTGCAAATTTCAACAGCTGAAAAATGGTGACCAGCATGGGATCGAAGGTCTGGCCGGTCTCCACATACACCACAATGTGGCAGACGTGCAGGGCCAGCAGCATCATGCGCACGAAGCCACAACGTAACCGCTCATAGAAGCTATCAAAGTCGAAGGGAGTTTCCGGGTCCTCCATGTAGACGTCAAGTATCTGCCCTTGAATCACCTCGTCGTATGTTGACTCGAAATGGAGCAACAGGCTGGAGGTACCCGGCTTATAGTAGCACTGTATTTGGCCATCTTTTGCTCTGTGATCCATGGGAGGCTCCATGCCGAAAGCTTCCATTTTATTAGCCTGATCGCAATTCGATCGGCCCACAACTCCAACGACAACCAGTGAGTTGTTCAGCTGCTGCAGCTCCTGGCTAAATTATATCCTTAAGTATATGATTTATGATGTTGCTGCTTTACTTACGCCACATTTTCCGGTATATCCGGGTAGGTCCAGGTGTAATACCCTTTTACATTCATCTTGAATGAAAATTGTTTGGAATTGTTTACAATTTTTGCATCAGCTGTTGCCGGACTGCCAACTTGTTGATGCAGATAAAACGTTGAGCTGTCTGGCAGCACTATCAAACCATGGTCTATCGATTGTGACAATATCGATAGTTAGCCGTTAATAGCCGCGCTTTTTGAATTTCGAATGTCTTTGAAATCAAACATAATTCAAATATATTTATTTGTTTAAACAAAAGCAGATCAGCTTGTAAATGAACGGAAATTAATAATAACTAACTTTTATTGCAAACAAAATTTAATAAAACACCTATATAAGTTGTCTAAAGCAATTAAATTTTATTTGTAAACTTTTCATTTGCGTTTTATAAATGTTTTTCGTCAGCTTTTCATTACAGCTTTTTGCACCTTTTAGCGTGTGTTTTTGTGTGTGCTTTCCGATTTACTTTTAAATGAAAGTTGTGTGCATGATTAAGTGTGAATGCTTTAATGCTTAACTCGCTTAAATAATCGTTTTATGCTTTCTTTTAATGTTGCAATGGAATAATGCGATGATTAATTGGTTGCTACTAGTATGCAAATAGCATGTATTTAGAAATCACTAATACTTTGTAGATCTGATAGAGAGAAGTAGGGACGTATTTCGAGAGTCTAAGTGTGCTAGAACTGAGTCATAATTACGTATTTATCCTCTTCCGCCTAAATTGAGCACATTTAAAATACTTTACGTTAGGTTTCGATTGCTAGAAATGCTAGAATGTTTAGATACTACTACAAAGAGGTGTAGGTTTCGTGGAGTGAAGAAGTGTCGATGCTTTTCCGAGGGTATTTACAAACTTTTGGGTTTCGAGCTGTGGAGTATTTGTTAACATTTTATTTACAACTATGAAAATTGTGTCTTCTTGGCTTCTAAAATGCAGTTATATTTATTTAGGCTGTGCACTTGTTCTCTGTATGCCGAAATCGAAATAGATTCGGTTTGAGAACAAAGTTTTGGATGTGAGTTTAAAATTCCTTTTCGCCAGGCTTTACTGTGCTTCTGTTTTCCTTTACGGTTTGTACTTGCTAACTGCGCATACAAGCTCTTCTTCCTCCACGTTTTGGCAGTGAACCTGAGCTTTCATCTTTGACTTGGTGATCGCACACTTTACTTACAAAAATCTTTTCTTAATTCGCAGCTTTCTTCTGCTTATGTAGATATACGATATTCGGGGATCTATACTGATAGGTGGTTAAATGAAGCACACACACATGCAAATCAATTATTTTGCAAAACAACCCGAGTGTCACAATAAATGGATCTAAATATATTTATTTAACTACACGTCCTTCTCGTTTCAAATGTAGCTAAATGTTTGCGTTTGTTTTTCGGAGATATCATGTTTGTGTTTTATTTAAAAAATATCATCACAAAATTGATGAAGTATTATTTTTTCTCGGTATTACACCATAAGCTTACGGCTAACGATCTTCATCATTTATCATTTCCAAGGGTAGCTTAAATTAGGTTTAACTTCAAATAAATCAGCGCAAAGTTAGGGACTAACAACTAAAGTACATGAAGAAAATCAACATAGTTTTTCGAATGGGTAAAGGACTTGCGAACTGAATTCTTTGTTCTTTGTGTGCCAAGCTAAACTTAATGTTCTAGGTATTTATTGTTTATCTGCGTATTATATGTGTAGGTCTGCTAGATGATTTTTGTATGGGGGCTGGTGATTTACAGGGTTTTTGCGCGATCCAGCAGATCGCCGATAAACTTCGATATGTCCGATTGCGGGCGTTTGCAGACTGACAGTAATCTCTGTAAAAAAGGAAAATGAAGTTAGCTTCGGGAATTCTTATATTGAATTTAGTTACTCACTATAAGATGAGATCTTCTGATGTCATCTGTGTCCATATCCAGTATCTCGTCAATGTCCACATCGATGGCTTCACTCTGCGAATAAAAATGGTGATGGTTATTTTATCTAATTATAAACATTTTGTTTTAAATTAATCCTTGTGCAAAATCTGATAAATTTACTGACAAAAATACTTTTAAATCAAAAAGAAAAACTTGAAAAAATTCTAATAATTCAACATTTATTTCAAAAAGAAATATTTATTTTTTTGGTAATGATTAACAAAAATTTACTTTGCTGAAGTCAACACTTTTGCAATCAATTTTACATCAGCATTTTGTTTTAATAAATACTTGTGTGAATTATAATTTCTTCAAAAAATGCTTTCATATTAAACTACCAACCACATAATTTCTGGGTTTGTTTTTGTTTCAATTTCTCAACAATACTCACTGGTGGATCGAAGAGCTTCTGGAGCTCGTCGTAGAGCCACATTTCGACGGCCAGTCGCTTGCGGATGAGGCTCATCTGGTGTGACCCGTACTTGGCGGTGAGGAACTTCTCCCGCCGCTCCTTGACCTCCGCCCCCTTCTCGTTGAAGTTGACCCGGAGGTTCGTCCGGTTCGGCGACCTCTCACAGTCGTTCATCTGCTCCAGGCCGCACTGCATTATTCTGCGATCGATTTAGCGGTTCAGGCCTCGTTGATTGATCTCTAATTTGCGGAACGCCTTAAATTAATTGGCGTGTTGGCTGCAATTGAGGAAAACAGTTGGACACATGAGACTCAAGTGGCTGTGTAATTAAATAAAAATTAATCGTATGTAACTGTTCATGACTGAGCTTTCCAAATGTGCGTCACACCCAATCCCATTTCTCTTTTTTTGTTTCTTTTTGTATTCGGATCGAGGGCCCAGCTTCAAGACTTGTTTTTGTGGGCCTAAAGGCATTTCCAACTTCCCGCATCCGTGACTCACCCAACTTTTTTTCCCTGAGGGTCTGATTCATACACTCCATTATCTACCATTTATTAGTGGACTTTTTCTATGTCCAGGAATGAAGGCAACAACATGCAAGCCGAACGAACACTGAACAGGAATAATTGCTCACGTGTCATGAAGTTTTGTCCTATCACTCGCTTTGTATCTTTTCTGATGTCCCCCCATATATATATACAGTATATATATGTGTATAAATATATGGCAGCTAATTAAATTAATGTGTAACGTATGACTCTGATTCCTGACATTTCACTTGTGGACCTTCGAAGTGCGGGAAATCTGATTTGACAAAGAAGTATGTTCGCGGTGAGTGACACGACCAGTATCTCTGCACATAAGTAACCGAAACCACGGCAAAGGTCAAACTTTCGGGGCAAGTTTGTTTATTAGATGTCTTCCGAGGGGCACTTAAATTAATAAAAGCGGAATTGCAACAGATTGGAAAAAGACTTTCTTTCTATGTATGTATATCGAAACATTTTTAGACACATTTAAGTTTTCTTTCTATAAGTTTAATTTCTATAATAAAGTATTTGAGAAATGATATTCGTTGTTTTGAAGTAATAAAATAATATTAATAATATGTACATGTCAAAAAATTTAAGAACACATACAAAAAAAAAAACAAGAAACAATCTTAAAATCATGATTTTCTTTTAGACAGCTTTACAGTTATTTTTAAAAATCAATAACCATTTTTTTTAGACTCATCAAACTCCTTACAGATTTTTAAGAATTAAAATGTATCCTTTTAAAGTGAAACAAAAATGGGGAAACAAAAGAGCTGAGAATTTTCGGCTTCAAAGACAGCTACAAAGTAATTTAAAACCACTTTGAATTTTGTATGAAATCGCAGAATATACAAGCGAACAAAACAATCTAAGGAAACCATTTATAAAGCAATAACACAAATTTAATACAACTTGAAAAGGCTCTGTCAGTTTGATTCGCCCACTCGACGTTCCTTATGACATATTAAAAGGGCAATATTGACTTTTCATATTATTTATAGACACACATTGAATCCAAGTGACGGTTTTTTTCGCATTTCCCCCCCAATCGAAGGTGGAAAAACAAAGGTTAGCCCCCACCGAGTGTCAATAGCAACAGAGGCCGTTGTGCCAGGCACCAGAAAAAGGCCGTTAACACCTGTCCACCTCTACCGAACGCAACTTTTATCCTTGTATCCTTTTTATCCTTGATCCAGTAACACAAGCCATCCCCAAAAAACAGTCGGCTGTGCAAACGGCGAAATGTAAACCTTGAAATTTCCAATTTCCTCCCCCCGAAAATTGCGCCCAAAAAAGTTAACAAACTCGATTCACTCTCGTTCTGGGTCTGCACTAAAACAAAATTGAATTGCAAATACTCACAGTCGAGTATTGAAATAGTTTTCGGTGTTTTGGTTTTTTTTGTGAGATATTTCGAAATTGCGGGCCATGTGGCAAGCGGAGCAGCAACAACTGCATTACACACACACCCAAAGAGTTTTCCGCATTCGCCGCTAAAAATACATAAACAATGTCAGAGCCCGCATTTTTCACACAACTGAATTTTCCAGCCCGTGCGAAATCTGATACCAGATTTACTCAAGAGCCATGAACAATTATGAAACCGGCGTTTAACTTGTCACTTGCATGTCGGTCGGCCAGCTTTTCAGATTTCCAGCTTTCAGCTTTCCCGGGGGCAAAAGAACAGAGACCTGGGGTCTGTAATGTGATCTGGAAACCGCTGAGTTCCATGCCCGGTATGCAGTGTGCTTCTCCATAGGGCTCTGGCCCGGAAATTACCCTAAACGAAGTTAATTGTGTGGATCCGTTTGGCCTACTACAGAAGTAGCAGAACACTTCTACGGGCACTTTCTGATGACTTGGCGACATGATACCATTTTAGAGGAAAAAATAGAGGAAAAACGTGTGAAGCAGAGGATGAAATTACCATCTTGGAATAACCCCCTGGGAATATGTCGATCGTTTGTTTTTGAAAGTATCTACAATCTATTTACGTACCCGTTACTTTTTAACTTTTAAATGTAAGAATTTCCAAATTGAATAAAAGAAATAATTCTATTTGTTTCTTGATTTCAAATAATTATGAAATGAAAAGGAAACTTTAAGTTTGTTGTATTAATTTAATTACTATAAAGACAATGAACATCAAAAGTTTAAAGAAATCTTCCCAAGGCTTGGCTAAGTTATTGTTCTGCGGATTCAACGGTAATTGTGGGATCAAATAAATTATGTTGGCTACCAAGAAACTTATCTAAGGAATTTCCTCAGATTTTCCCAACGACAACATACAGAAACGAGAGCAAAAACTATTTGACCGTAGATTACGTTGAGCGATGATGAAAAGGGGGCGCTTGGGGCTCAAAAGGTAAATTATACCTTTATTATTATTGCTTGCCACATCTTAGGCAGAAACTTTGCATAAATATTACGTTGAAATGCCTACGGCAATGCGGCAACAACATGCAACATGTTGCATGTGCAACAGCAACAGCTGGCCCAGCAGCAGCAGCAAACTAGCTGCGAATAAAATTGTATCAGCACCCCCTTGCAACCCACGCCCCTGCAAAGCAGTGTTGCATGAACTTCCGGAGTCGGTTGCACAAGGAGAAAAACGCATATGATAGAGGTAAGAACTATGCATATTTTTAAAAGTAAAATAAATGATAAATAAATTTAAATTTTGTTGCAAATTAGGAAAACATTTCGAACTGAATAGTCTGCACTTAATTCTTATTATTATTTTAATTTAGTAAGTAACCGAATTTAAACAAATTTTGTATTAAACGTATAATATTTCTCACCAATAAAAAGGGTACAAAAACAATAAAAAATATTAGATTAATATGAATTTCTTTATGTGTGCAATATTTCTCGAATGTGGTAAAACGCATATCAAATTGCCGACTAGCACTTCAATTTAATTCCTTTTGTACCTTCGCTTTTGTGGAGAAATTAGTTCGATGGTCAGAAAGAACCATTAGATGGATTGCCTGCATGCGAGTGCAATTTTCGAAATAGTTTCATGCATTTCAAATGAGATTGATTCGGCTTAGAAGCTCCCTTCCATTTCCAGCCACAAATTAAAAATGTAAATTGACATTTGGCTTGACGCTCTCTTTTTGGCCCAAAAATGAAATGTCAACAATAAATATTTCATTGGTGTCTAGAGTCGAGGGCACGTGGTGAAATTGTGCAGTCATATTCCATCAGCAGAAAACGATGCGATATCAGTCCTCTAAAAGCCAAATATAATTCGTTGAACTCAATTTAGGGGAAAAAACGAAACGAAAAATTAATTAACCATTTGAGTCGGCTAATCAAATTTTGTGTAACAAAAATTCAATTATTAAACGTACGTTTGGTGGGCCATAAAATGAAAAAAAAAAAATCAAATCAAAGTGGAAGTCAGAATCAGAGCAAACTTGATACAAAGGTTCAATTTGTTCACCTTCATCAGCTCCACAACCAAATTGATTTTTAAATATCCGCCCCTTCCCCTCGTATTCCCCATGGAACATTTATGGACAAATGCAAATCGAATGTGTCGCAATTGCCTCAGAAACATTTAAACAGTCTGTCGATTTGAGTCCCCAAATTGGGGAATATCGTTTTTGGACAGGCGCCAAACGACGACTGCAGAAATTTCATGTTAATTTCAAGGTAATTATAGATTAATTATACATTTATGCTGTGTTCATTGCCACTTATATGGCTGCGGGTCTATAAAACACTTTGTCGCAGCACTTAAAAGTGCTCTAAAAAAATTAAATGGCCTTTGCAATGATGGAGAAAAAGATAAATAAACTCTAGGGAAGCTAAAAAATAATGAACATCACAGTTTTCTGACTTTTATGTTAGTTACGTGTCGATATTGAGATATTCTAAATCTGGGCTAATGATTTCGATTTCTTTTTGGTCTCAACCCTGATTTACATTTGAAGAAAAGAAACATGTCCAAAAATAAATATGATAAGAGAGACCGAAGCCGAAATATCAAGTTCATCCAATCGAACCCAGGCTAAGCATGGCATTAACCCATTTAGAGGAAACTTTGGGATCCATCAGATCGATCGGGTCTTCTGAGCTTTTCTGAAAAGTTCATTCAAGCCGAAATTTTCACAGGCACACACACTGAATAAGGGAAAAAGTGAAATGTGACGCTATTATGCTAAAAAGCCTATGAAATCAAAGCCACAAAGGGCCAGCGTTTGTATATGCAAATGCTTTATGATTCGCGGGCCGTGAAATCCCCAGAAAAAGTTGAAAGAAGAATTGAGAAAATTGAAACCCAGAAAGAAACCAAAAACCAGTTTATGAAATCTGTGAAAAGAAAAAGATTTGAGCCCAGATTCATTGATATCGAAGGGCTTTTAGTTCCTCCTATGAGACTATTAATTTACACTGTAGGCATATTGTTTATTAATCACGTCATTCAACGGCGGGCTTATCAGCCAGACAAGCGTCCACAATAAATTATTGTATAAATTTCTGCCTCATTTAAATAAGCCGATGCATTGCGCAAACAATCTTGATAACGATGATTCGTGCAATATGCATTATAAATCGAACAGACCAACTAATTAGTATGTTTGTTTTGCAATCTATCACCCAACTTCTGATTGATAGGTTTCTTCCCCTTTGGACACGCGTCTGTCTTTCAAGAATTCTGCGAAGATTCTCGGACATTGATCGCTCGTTAATTTGTCAGGAGTATATTGTTAGCCAAATCTAAAAGTCAAGC